GTTTCGTTGAAAGTGGCCAATTTGGGATAAAATATGGGTTGAGCGATACTACCCAATAATTATGGACTAGTACCATACAAGTTACCAAATGACCGTGATAATATGATATATATAATGTATAAAGTATACATGAAGTATATTAAAAATAAGTAGAATTTTAAGTAATTTGAGACAATTTTTAAAATATGTGAATAATTGATTAATTACCGGGTAACAGGACATTACCCAGTTAACTAATAAGTGGATAAAACTTAATTAATTATACTCCTAAGACAAGTGGAATAACTAGCTTACCACATGAAGTGACTAATCAATTAAACATCCTAGGTGGCTATCTATGATGTACTTGAATCAAATAACTAAAAGAGTGATTATCCAAAACAATACATGTACAAGTCTTGAACACATTAACGTTACTCATTCAAAAAAGGAAGGCAAGAAAGATTACTTAGTTTGAAAGGTAGAAGCTAGTTTTCATATAAGGAAGACATTAGAAGGACAGAAGCTCCAATGTCCAAGCACTTCAATGCCAAGAACAGAAGCTAATTTCGTTCATTAGTTTCAAAACGCAGAAGCTTAATCTGATTTTTGGGTTCTAAGTTCAATCCACGAAGGTTTTCAACGGAATGTTATACGGAGTTTTCCCTACTCCAGGTATGTTAAGGCTATCCCTTCTTTCTTTTGGTATTGTCAAAATTATACTGAAAAAACGAGCAAACGCACAGTTTCCATAAATTACTCTATTCATAGAATACTAGGGATGTCTATATTCTTAATTCCCTATGTGAATTATTATTATCATCTATTCATGGGTCTCAGAATAATACGCAGTTGAAAAAGTTTATCCGGATGGAATATTGAGATTTTTATGTATTTTTCATGCATTTCACCTATTTATACATGTGCATTGACCCATGACAAGATGGCGTTATATACGCGTATATACGTAAATATATGCATATGGGATATGGGAAAAGGTTACGGCGTTATATACACACCACCACCTGATCATCTGGTATATGTTGATGATGTTGCCCACAGTGGCCTAGGCGATATGATGGGATGCCCTCAGTGGTTTGATGATATTATGTACACCCATACCTATGCATGACACGACATTTATACGCATGTGCATGACATTATAAATGTTTCAGAATTTACAAAGTTATTTAGATTTAAGGATGTGGTTTTTATTCCATGTTTCATCTACGTCTTTTACGTACTACTTTTCATGCCTTACATACTCAGTACATTTTTAATACTGACGCCCTATTCCATGGGGTCTGCGTTTCATGCCCGCAGGTGCAGGTAGGCAAGCTGACGGCCCCCCTTCTTAGGATCCCTAATCAGCGAGAGTTGGCGTGCTCCACTATATCCGGAGCTACTTTTGATTTTGGTATGATACGTTTGTATATATATATATATATGGGTATGACGTGGCTCAGTTCCATCTTCGTACAGTTATGTTTCTATTAGAGGTCTGTTGACAGTATGTCTAGTTGGGTTGTATGTGGCCTTGTCGGCTTTTAGTTTTGGATGTATAAGTTCTATAACAGCCTTGCCGGCTCACCCACTATATTCTGTATGTATACGTACATATGCCTTGTTGTCACATCTCCTTCATTTATACTATTTTTGTAATTCAGCTGATGTTATTCAGGTTTATATCTTACATGCATGCTTAGGGTTGTTTGACAGGTAAGACTCAGGCACCCATCGCGGCCCATTGGTTTGGGTCGTGACAGTTGGTACCTAATGGGTGTTTAATTTAGGGCTTGTTTGTGAATGGATTGATATTTAGCCTAGTTCTTGCTTGAATTTAAGAATTAATAGTTGCAAACATTGTTTCATACCTAATTGACTTAGACTCTACTTGAGAAAGAGAGACTAAGTCTAGGAAAACTTGGCTAACAAGGAATTGGGATGAACTCAAGAAATTGATAGCCCCAATTAAAGGGTTGAATCTAGAGATAGTAAGACCCGACTTGAGCATCTATCACTTATTTTGTGAATTACCCATTTGGACTTGAGAAAGCTAAATTGGGCAAAACTACTCTAACTACCGAGAGGTATCGAGTGGGTAATTGAGTGTAATTGATATATTACACCCCGACCGATAAAAATTGCCCTAAAGCCCACAATCCATTAGGTAACCACCTAGTTGGAAGTCACGACCCTAGATCTTTTATAATCTTGAAAAACAACAACACCAAAAATATCGTTCTCTAGCTTTTCATTTAAAAACATTAGCATAAAATTAGAAGTATAAAGAAACAACCAAATATGTGGAAGTTGATGTGTCGGAGAATTTCGGCACATTTAAGACAAATTGCTTAGCTTTTAGCTTGTTTTAAATGCAATTATCTTTTATACTTATGTAATTTTAATGTTTTTGCAATGTATGAGGTTTAAAGACCTAAGAGCATGGAAATGAAATCAAAATCCACAAAAGGACAAGAAAAGAGCAAAATGTGATCGCGGATGTGAAAATGCGGGCCGCAAATCCAACATACGGACGACATAATGCTTAAAGGAGTCGCAAACCCCAACAGTCTATTGGCCAAAGTCCAGTGCAAGAAATGTGGTCCATTATGCGACCGCATAATAGGTTTACGGGACACATAATGGACCGCAAACTCGTTGTGAAAGCTGCTGAAGGTGGAAAATGGATCGCATATCTACAATGTAGACCGCAGAACTTGAATGCGGCGAATGTCTGGAAACTAGGGTTTGAAGATGCGATGGCCATGAAGAGAATACGCACCGCATGTTTGTTATGCGACAGATATGCGGTCGCATAATTGACCTGAAAGGGTATTTTTTTCCGATTTTAGTCCCGAGTTTTGACCCACTATCAATAAATTTATTGGGGTTTTGTGGGTGCATCTTGTCTTATTTTTGAACTACATTCCAAGTCTTTAATATTCCTCTCTTTTGGAAGCTTTTGGGTGAAGAATCTTGCACTTTGTAAGCTTTATGGCATTTAATATTCTCATTTTTTTTGTATTTTAGCATGTGTTACTAACTTTAAATACTAAGGTTGTGGACCCTAAATGGGTGTTATATTAGTGGATGTTTAACATTGAATATATGTATAATGGTTGGTTGATATATATTTATTTATTCATTTATTGTCGGTGGTTGCAAACATTAACAAGTGCCATTAAATTCTTTCTTTACTTGGAAAAGTGTGTTAGAATTTGGTAGAAGTAAATATCAAAGACTCAAGGCTTTAAACCTTGTTTAATAGAATTGCTTAGGAATAAGTGGGTTTTATTTGACATATATTGATTGTTCTTAATTGCAATTCTTTTATATTTGGGAAAATCATAAAGAAGAATACTACCCAACTATTGAAAAATATTGGGTAGTCATTTAGAAATCATTTGCATATTTAAAGAGCCTTCCATTAGAAATATATCATTTTAACACCGATAGGATTACATTTCATTGAAGGGGACACAACCTTGGTTTCCTTAATCAAATTATTTACATTCTCAACATTACAATTGGTTATTTCTTCAAATCACAATCATATCATACTCTTGTTACAATTAACCGAATAGAATTACGACTTAGTCAAGTAACACACTACTCGAGTAACCTTTTCACACCTATTCCCTGTGGGATTCGGCCCCAACCTTGTTGATTATTATATTGACACCGACAGCCTTATACTATTTAATTAAAAAGTAATTTGAGCATATCAAATTTTGGCGCCGTTGCCGGGGAATATGGTTTTGAAATTACTAATTACTGTGTGCTTTACTTTGTGTCTTATTCTATTCCATCACACTTTGCTTGTTTTGCTTGGTGTTGATAGGAAAACATGGTCGAATATGAAGAATAGATGGGGGAACAAATGGAAGAAAATCCTTTTGCGGACATAGATGAGTACATTGAAGATACAAATGCTATTGTACCTCTGGTTGTTGGTGCTGCAACTTTCAAGGTGGAACATTGTTTAATCCTTATGCTTAAAGCGGAGGGGTTTTTCAGGAATTCCACTGATGATGATCCGACACAACAACTTAGAAACTTCTTGGGTGTGTGTGTGATACATAAGCAGAACAACGTCTCTGATGATGCCCTAAGGTTGAGGGTGTTCAAGTACTCACTAGCTGGGGACGCAAGGAAATGGCTTCAAAATATGCCACCAAACTCCATTCTTTCTTGGCCTGAACTTGTCCGAGCATTCTTAGCTAAATGGTTCCCACAAAGTAAGAAGTCTGATCTCCGGGATAAAATTTTCTTTTTCAAGCAAGTACTGGGAGAACATCTACATGAGGCATGGGGTCGATTCAAGTTATATTTGGTGAGGTCTCCTAATCATGGTTTTCTGGATTCGATCTTGTTGTAAAAATTCTACATGGGTTTGGATCATATGAACCAATCTATAGCCAAGAATGCAACTGATGGATCTTTTATGGAAAACTCATTCGCAAGGGTCACACAAATATTTGACAAAATGGCAAAACATAATCAAGCATGGAACTCAAAAGACACCACATGTGGAATTGCATATGGTTGTCCTTCCTCGACTACCATGATCAAGTAAAATCAAGAGAGAGATCAAGTGATTGCAGATCTTGCCACAAATGTCAATGTGTTGACAAAGATATTCACCGAAAGCCAAACAAAGAAGGTAAATGTGGTGGAGGATGTGCAACCCATATCAAATGAAGATTTTGAGGAGGCAAACTATGTCAACAACTCTCAAGAAGGTTATCAAAGGCAACAATACCAAGGTTAAGGACAACAAAATCAATGGAGGCCTCACCCACAAGGTCAAGGCAACCAACAGTGGCGAAATGACCAAGGTGGCTCAAATCAAGGAAATAGGAATAACAACAACAACTTCTCAAATCGGAGTTCAAACCCTTATGTTCCTCCAAAGGGTCAATATTCAAATCAAGGTTCCTCAAGTGATTCCAAGTTGGAAAGCATGATTGAAGGAATATTGAAAAAATCAAGAAAACTCCGACACTTCTATAAGGAATATGACCGAGCTTGTTGGCTCTCATACTGCATCCATTCAAAAATTGGAGATGCAAATGAGAGACCTCTCTAGGGAACAAAATCCGAAACAAAAAGGGACACTTCCAAGGGACACAATTGCGAACCCAAAGGATAGTGGGAGTGGTCCAACTTATCATATCATGGCAATTACTACTCAGAGTGGGAAGGTACTACAAGGAAGGAGTGAACAAGTGGTTGAAGTAGAAGAGTCCGAACATGAGGTTGAGGTTGAAGAGCCAAGTGTTGTTGAAGTTGAAAAGGTTCCGGAAGAATTGAAAGTGCAAGAAGAAAAACTGGGAAGAGGTAAAGGAAAAGGTAAAAGAGACACCAAAAACTCTACCACCTATTCCTAGACCTCCTCCTCCATTCCTTCAAAGACTTGCTAGGAAGGTTGATGATAGCAAACTCGAAAAGTTCTATGACATTATCAAGCAATTATCGGTGAATATTCCATTTATGGAAGCATTTCAAGAGATGTCAGGTTTTGCTAAATATTTAAAAGACTTGATTACCAAGAAGAGAACCACCAAGAATGAAGTGGTGAATCTGACTCACAGGGTTAGTTCCATCAGTGCAACATCCACCGTTGAAAAGAAAGAAGACCCGGGAGCTTTCACCATTCCTTGTACTTTTGGGGCACATGATTTTGCAAGAGCCCTTTCTGATAATGTGACTAGCATCAACTTAATGCCTCTTGCCATTTACAAGCAAGCAGAGTTAGGTATGCCAAATCCCACAAGTATGAGATTGCAAATGGCTGATCGTTCCATAAAGAGACCGGTGGGAATTGTCGATGATGTGCTTGTTAAAGTGGGAAAGTTTCATTTACCTGCCGATTTTGTAATCCTTGATTGTGTGGTTGACAAAGAGATACCTATCATCTTGGGGAGACCATTCCTTGCCACAGGAAGAGCACTAATGGATTCAGAACGGAATGAGATCAAATTTCGTGTTAATGATGAAGAGGTTACATTCCAAGCAAGCAAGGGTATGAAACTACCACTTGAATATGAAAGCATCTTGGTGATTGATGTTGTTGATGAAGTGGAAGATGCTGTTGAAATGAAGATGGAAGAACAATGCCTCGGTGAGGCATTGGCAGCTATTTTGGTGAACTTTGATGGTGAAGATATGGAAGGATATATGGAATCAGTCAATGCATTGGAGGGGCTTGGGTCCTACACTTATGCTCCAACGAAGCTCACTCTCGACTTGGAGAATAGAGACACTCCTCCCGCAAAGCCTTATATTATTGAGCCACCGCAACTAGAGCTCAAACCGCTTCCACCACACTTGAGGTATAAATTTCTTGGCTCAAATGATAGTTTACCGGTAATCGTTTCTTCTTTGTTTAATGATGTGCAGGTAGAATAATTGTTGGATGTCTTGAAGGAGCACAAGCAAGCTATTGGATGGAAAATTACGGACATTCGAGGGATTCCCGCTGGAATTTGTGAACACAAGATCCAATTGGAGAATGAGACTAAACCAAGTGTGGAGCACCAACGACGGTTGAACCCGTCCATGCAAAAGGTGGTAAAGAAAGAAATCATCAAGTGGTTGGATGTCGGGGTTGTCACACCTCCTTCTTCCGCCCTCGCGAGGGATGAAAGTGTTTTTCCAATTAAAGGACAATCGAAACGGGATTTGTTTATTTATTTCAGAATCGCCACTTGAGAGATTTAGGGTGTCCCAAGTCACCAATTTAATCCCGAATTGAGGAAAATACTCGACTTTCCAAATGAAGTCTGCGAACCAGAAATCTTAAGTAAGGAATTCTGTTGACCCGAGGGAAGGTGTTAGGCACCCCCGAATCCCGTGGTTCTAGCACGGTCGCTTAAACTGTTGTAATGGCTAAAATATCTAATTTTAATACATGTTCAAAAACTATAGTGCAATTTTAACTTTTAACCGCTTTTATTGTTATTATTATTATTTTTTACAAGAATGTGAACATTGTTTAAAACATGTCTTTGGATTACGTCACATGAAATGCACCCGCAATCCGGAACACATTTTATTTAATGTTTTGGGATTTGGATTTGGGTCGCAAAAATGTGCACCCGTGTTTAAGAATGTATTATTATTAACATCGTGCCTAAAGCGATTAACGTATTATTATTTATGGGTAGGACCGTGGAATTCACTAAACAGTCCATCCCGAATTCTAAACACTCAATTAAACATTTATTGAGGGCCCCGCAATTGGTGCATTTTATTGGGCGAGGCTCATCTCATTTATTTTTAAAAGACAATCCTAAAATGCCTACATTATTTTCTATTAAATCTGTCTCTACAAAATAAAATAAAAAAAAAGTCTTAATTTATTTACATGCTGAAATTAACCAATAATATTTACTCTAAACAATATTTCTACCAAGTTCCTACTAGATGGCCTATTCGTTTGATTTTTGACTCGACGAAGTTACTACACCATTTATTTATTTAGGCAATATATGCATATAGTTCAACTGTTAAGCTATCGTCGAATGTTCCACTATGTGTATTAAATAGCTACATGATTCTGATTTTTTGCAAGCTAAATAATTTGTACATATAAATAAAAATCAGAATATAATTAAAGCTAATTCAGAATTTCAACTCTTCATTTTTCGTATTCATGCTTCATATTCGGATTACAATAACCAGCTTTTCAGTTGTGTACCTGATATTGGAAGCAAAAGAAAATGAAGATGAGAATCAGCAGCAGTAATAACAGTACAACACATCAACAACAGCCCAGCAACAGTAACAACCCAGTAACAGACCGGTGGAGTAGTAATCCCAAAACAAATGCTTCCAACTTTTATGAAACAACGACAATTAATGCTGATTTCAAACAATGAAAGAAAGCAGAAGATTTTTTTCTTTAGTTTTTTTTATTTTGAAAGTTTAAATATTTTTTCGGAATTTTCTCTCTCCTAAATGTTCAGCCCTTTTTTCTCTTTCTTATTTTCTTTCTGTTCTTCTCTATATTCAGATTAGTTCCTCTATCTGTGTTCCCTTCTGTCTGTGTGTTCAAGACTTCCTATATATAATCCCAACCCTTTAATCAATTAAAATCAATCACTTTCTCCTACCAAACTCATTATCTTCCCACTCATCCCCATTATATTAAATAAATATATCATCACCACCCCATTATATTTTATCCCCCATGCTTCACTAAACAAATACAAGATTCCTCCCCACTAAATTTTGTCTTGTCCCCCTTTTTATTAAACAACTATATCACAACCCACCCCATTATATTTTGTCCCCCATGCTTCACATAAAAAATTACAAAAATGTACAATTCCTAAACTACCCCTCCGACCTTATTGCAATTACTATTTTACCCCAAACGTACTGCGATTTAACAAATTACTCCCATCAGCTATAACAAATCAATTAATCAGATTCAACCAAAATATAGCCAATATGACCAATTTCTACATAAATTCAAACAACAAATCTCATGAACATGATTTCTTCAACATTTCAACAACAAATCACATGAATATGATTTCAACAACAAATCATATGAACAAAAATTGAACAACAAAGAACAACTAAATTTGATTGAACAATATTTTTAACAACAAACAAACCTATTTTCAGATTCAACAACAACAATCAAACAAGTATATTTAGATTTCTAAATTCAATAATATTGAACTTAAAATCAACTCTAACAACATTACAACAAACAATTCCTATATTAAACTTTAAATAAGATTATGAGACAAATTCAAGAAATAATCATAAATGGTAAATAAGAAATCAAGCTATACAAATTTCAGATTCAAGAACAATCAAACAAAGTATGAACATGAATTAAATCTATTTTAAACAACAAACATGATGGATTCAAACGATTAAACCAACATAGTTCCCTATTACAACTAAATTCTTTTAGACAAATAACAAGATCGACGAAGAAACAATTATGAACTTAAACTTGAACTTAACAATATTAACAATTTCTAAAAATACATAACAACATGAAACAAATTGAAGAAATAATCAATTAAATTTCAATTTGAATCTGAAAATTAAATTAACAAAATACATGAACAAACTAAAAAATTAATTCAAACGATAGATATGAACAAAACAAACATTTGCCTATTTTAGATTCGAGAAATATCAAAACAAAATACGGACAAAAATAAAACTCAAAAACTACTAACCGGATCGAAATGAAATATGTACAGACTATTTCGACAAACCTCGACCAAAGCTCAACCAAATGACGACGAACATGATCCTAAGAAACAACTGAAGCCACGCCGAAGCACTAGTAGCAGTTGACGCGGCAGAACAGAAGCATCTGGGGTGCGATTGAAGAAGACGAAGCAGTGGCGACTGGTTTTGTACGCGAAGCAGATGTGAAGAAGACGAAGGTGAGGCAACAGTATCCGGCAGCAACCAATGGCGAAGAACAACACAGCAGCATCCCGCAGCACGTTTGGACTGGAAGATGAAGTAACTCGATGAAGAACCAGTCGTTTGGACTGGAAGATGAAGCAGCTCGATGAAGCTTTGGTAGCTTAGGTTCTTGAGGTCATTACGAGGTCTGTTTGGACATAACAGAAGCCATCAAGAAGCAGCAGCAACCGCTCGTCGAGGAAGGAGATGAAGCAGGCAGCGATGGAGGTTTTTTTGAGGTCGTTCATAGGAGGGCAGCTTGAAGACGACGTGTGTGTGTGTGCTTGCGTTGTTGTGTGTGTTGTGTAAGTATATGTTTGCTGTGTGTGTTGGAGAAGGAGAAGGAGGGAAGCCATTGATGGAGCTTGGTGAAGCTTGAGGAAGAAGAAGGAAAGTGAGGGGGGTGGCGGATGGCTTAGCTCTTTAGGGTTTTTTTTTTTTTTTTTTTTTTTTTTTTTTTTTTTTT